TCTCTCTATCGCGAAAAAGGGCGGAGGTAATCTACATTAGACCGGAATAATGGAAAATTGTTCCGGCTACCCGGGCTCCGCCGGGTCTCGGGATGTTCCTAAAGCCTCCGGCATCCGTTATGTAGCGGAAGAACGAGGTTAGGCTAGGTGACCGTCTGCTGTCCTGGCGACGGGGTGAACGGAGGTTACTACCCTCCCAGACGCGGACGTACTCCGAGGTCATTTTTCACGGTCGCCTCGCCACTCTCTCCATTACCGATAATGCGCCACCGACCGCCCTTTCTGGTACTCGTCGTCGGAAATGCATTTCTAAAGATGGAGCATGAAAGATATGCTATTAATCCTCTTGTACCATTAAACGTCCGTTTTATATAAAATGTTACACAATGCAACATTGAAAATTTTCATGCGGTCTTATTGTGTAAACTGATAAATGTATTCAATCAGTATTTATCTTTTCCATTTTCGGAAAAATGATGGAGATCATGTTTATTTTGTTAGTTTTTATTGAGATATATTTTTGATTTTATTATTAGTAGATATCTCTTTGGCTAATATGGAAAAGGATATAAATAAACGCCAGAAAGAAATACAGTATGCTACTGTTAAATAATTATTTCGGTGTTCTGTTATCTATTTTTTCTTCGATATTTCGTGGATATTCGCACAGAAATAGAAGCTCTTCTAATTCAATGGTGTTCTTTATTTCTTTATTAGATTTCGCGATTTACATCTATTGGTCCACTTATTGCTCGTACTTCTAAATGTATTAAATTATCTCAAACTCATAAATTTTGCTCTTCGAATTTTTTTGGTAGAAGCATATTGATAGAAGCAATGTGTGATAATGTATTTAATAAATTTTGATTCTAGACAAATGATCTTGTTATATTAACATTAAAGGAAGAATTTTGATAGTTGTATGAAATGTATACTAAGATTATCTCTTTCAACAATTTTTGTTCAATATTTTTTTCATAAAGTCATCTTTTTTGACAATTGTGATAATAAAAATGTTTTTCTAGGAGAGGTACTATTAATTATTTACTCTGATCTCTGATTCATTTTCTATTTTATTTTTATTCTCTTAAAAATGTTTTTGCCAGAATTCGATAGGTCTAAAAGGAAAGAGACTGATTCTATAAAATTTTCATTCGTATCTATAGTGCTTTCTCTATTGATCTCGCGGCGAGACAAGAAAGTCAATCATGCGTGTCAGTGTATAGTGTCTAAAATAAAAATTAAAGTAAACAATAAAATGAAATTCGTATCACACTATGCAAATTATATAAATAAATATATATCACAGAATATATAAATATAACTTATAATGAAGCATAATCGTACTTTGTGGCACATAGCATAGATCATCTTCAAGTAGTAAAACATAGTATAGTTGCGATATACATATAATTATGGTATATTTCTGACTAGTTCCATTGGTATTAAAATCTCGACAGCATATTGATAGACATCAAAACATTCAACTATCAATCCGATTCTATATTCCAAGTTAAGCTGTAAGATTCGAACCGGAAAATAGTTTGAACTTTAGATGGTCTTTGAATATCTTTGTTCTGTCATGTGGTGGATGATATAATAACGGAATAAATGAAAGAGCATGGATACCACATGGTTGCTCGATGATTTCGATAGAAGGAACGTAGGATTTCGGAGTAGATCTGGCGAATCACTTGAAACACTATTTAGCATCACAAATAACTATATAATTAAGAAATCAAATACACTTTTAATGACTCGTGCTCACGCTTATTATAACTCTTTACGGTCGCACTTCCGGAAGAAGAGGTAATCGTACGTTACGATATCATGGTGTACATATTGTCTGAAAAAAATAACACAACATCGACGTCTTTTTTTATATCACAAATTTTATACTGTCATCATTTCAATTCGGGCCAATCGCGATTTACCCGAAGCAGGGAAAGCTGTTCGCGCACCCCGGACGCATCGTCGGCTGGGTGCACGTCGGGCACCAGACCGGGGAAACCGGTGTTGTATATGTCACCGAAAGGAATGACGGCGGTGGGGAACGGTCGACCGGTGGGGGCCGCAGTCGGGGTTCCCGACCGCGTCGGCGGCGCTTAAGCCTCCGATGCGGGGGCATTGCTGTCGTAGCCGCGGTACGATACGATCCGGCTGCTGTCTCGCAGTAGGTACGCGCCGTCCTCCGTGTCGCACGTGTTTGTCGGTCGATCTTTCGCGTGCCGAGAGAGACTTTCATTCTTATTTTCTCTCCTTACGTTTTCCGATCGCGCAGAAAATATTCCCAAGGCGCGCATCCTCGCAATCGATTTTCCAAGTGTTTACGGGTGCGATAATGGACATTTAAGAGAGATGGTGTGCGCGTGTGATTGTCCGGGAAGGATGCTTTTTTCGTCGACGATCGCAAATATGCGTTAACGAGGGGTGGTTCCCGAGAGGGAAAAGAAAAGGGGCGCGTCGCGCGAGGGCACGCGATGATCGTGCGTGAAGGATTGACGTAGCGCACGAAAGGAAGGACTGAATTATCTTTTTTTCCCTCTCATTCAAGATTTTCTTCTCTCATTCATGCGTCGAATATACATCGAAGGATTTTGATTTATCGTATGAATGTATATGGGAATATCGAGAATACGGAGAGAGAACGTTGCGAAATTTTTGGAGCACGTTGCACGCGATAATTCATTTACAGCGACGAGATCGTGAATGAATGAATGAAACAGTTTTATCGTAGGTCAGTAACACCGTAATCATCTCTGGTTCGCCGCTCGATTGACTAAGAGGCCTATCTTACGCCAGATATTAAGTAGGGTCGAATCGGAATAATCGATTGTATACGCGATAACGAGATCGTGTGGAGACACCTTGGGATCCAGTCTATGTCGTGTTTATCGAATTTTTCAATCGACTTTGTAAATGAACAGTGGAACCTTTTTGCTATTCGTTCAATCATCTGATGGGTGAGATCGGATTATTTATATTCCGTGATATATACTGTACGTGATTGGACTTCGTGGGTAGTATTATTGTGACAAGTGTCAATTGTACGTCGTGAATGGAACTCGGTTTGCATAGAGTTTATCTCGGAGCTTATAAGTGTTATAAGAGTAAAATACGAAGCTTATAAGTTTCACAGCTTATGAGTACTACATTGAGTACGTGGAGCTATTACTGGGGTTATAAAAGTGTTTATCATATCTAGGTAAGTTCTAGAATTAATGCGACTGCATAACATGCATGCAATAACAGTTGCATAACAATATTTTATAGTGGCTTATCTATCTAACACATTGTTTTTTTTATTTCGTTAAAATAAAAGTAGACTCGAAAAGTATGGCACATACGATTTTTATTTTTCTATTCCCCTCGTTTGTTCCCTTTGTTTTAAATAAAATATCGTAATTTGAATAGTAATTAACAAAATGTCCATTATTAGAAAACATAGGTTTATTATCTTTGTTCGTTACAAAAATCTAATTGTTCTGTGAGACGAGATTACACAATATTTTTTGAAAGGATATATGCACTATTGGAGGACATATGTGCATATATATTATATGATTATGCACTATTTCATATATATGTATATATATTTTTTTATTTATACTGAAAATATTTCAACAATTATCGCACCTAATAAATACCTATTACTATAAAAGGAATTATCACACAAATGGATAGCTTGAATTGAATTGTTAAAACTTCAAGGCTTAACAATAGGGTCTGGATTAAATGAATCTGATCTAACGATTAGAAATTATCACCTATGTAATATATACTAAATATTAATTAAGCGAAATTGTATTTAAAAATGACATAGATGAAGATGTCTGTCAACTTGAAACAATGCTGTTATTTAACGAATTTATCGAACTTTCCATACGATATTATTTTAACAGCTTAGGACACATTCGTTCAGCGGATATGCATTCTTTGCAGTTGCCGCCTTCAACTCGCATCGCTCGTTTCCATTGCAGAGCACGCGCGTTCGATGGGTTGCGCGAGAAAGTCGATCGTCGCTCTTGCAGTTCGAGAACACGCACGATCCGCGTAGAGTCTGTACCTCCCGCGGCATCTCGCTAACCTCTTTCAACACGGTTAAATATTAGCGGGAAACACCAGTGCGGTACCATAAATCCCAGTCACACGACGTGCCAGCGCACGCCGGCTCATAAATCGGCCCCGCGACACGTATACTCTAAAGCGCCATTAATTAAAAGCCACGTTCGTTGGTAGCACCCCCTTGTTCCCTTTCTTGAAAATATGCAATTTCATAGTATGTCTATGAGACTTGAAACTTGGATTGTTGTCTATACATATGTATATACGAGCACGCGTGAAATATAGGATGTTATTTCTCGAGATCAATCATATAAAATTATGAAATATATTGGTAGAGGAAAGTTAAATAGCAGAAATATTTTTTTTTTCACGAAAATTGCGATTACATAATTTTTTTTAAACGTCAATTTTCTTGTTTACGAATTTTATTAATTATTATTAAAATTTGATATATTCCGTTTTTATTATAATGTATTTTTTGACAATCTATTATTTATCTTTAATCATGAATCTATTATTTATTTTCAATCTCTGTAATCACTCTGCTTATTGTTCTTAGATGATTCTCATTCTAGAAATAAATCTAAAATAAATCTCTTTCTTTTGCCGATGTTATGTTCGGTAGGCGCAAAAGACGGGATAATTACGCAAGAGTAGGGAGAAGACTCGTCCCAATCTCACTTCCATTCACGGAGTTAAGCCGTCGTGAGTGCGCGAAAACGAGTTTGGCAGGTCGACCAGTCGAGCCAACATAATCTCGCTTATCTCGACTTGGTCTGACCGGGTGGGAACGGTCCGAAGCAATGCAAAAAAATGCATCGCGCGGTATATGAATGGTCAAGTAATTTGGATCATGTCCGAAGCAATTTTCGAGTCTAAACTAAGGAAAGGGAAATATATTTAAAGGAATATTTCTTTCATTGAAAGAAGAAATGTAACTATATAGAAAGTTGCTCTTTTATTTTACACAAGTAAAGTACGTGAAAAATTACATTGCCGAATAATTTATAATATCTGAGGATATTTTTTGGAAAATACTATTGGTATATATGACAATCGAAACTCACTTTTCACACATTGCATTGGCTTTTAATGTTTGATATGGAAACGGGGGTGGAGACGATGAGGACGATCGGGAACATCAATACCCCAGAGAATCTTCAGCAAATCCTTGATGATTTCAAGATCAATGCCAGCATTATCGGCATGTTCCAAGAGCTCTTGGAATGTGGGGTGAGCGTAAACCTTATTGACGATTTTTTGGAAGTTGTCAGATTCCAATTGCTTGACGAACTTGGCGAATGCGGGGGAGTTTTCCAGCTTGTCTTCATACAAGTCGTTAAGCTCGTCCGCGGGTAAGATGGCCAAAATGTCATCAACGTATCCACGAATTCCACCGCTGATCTTTTGTTTGGTAACTGCAGCATAATCGGGCGGAGTGAGGTGATCGAGGTCAAGCACGTCGTTCAACATGTTCACCATTTTGTAAATGTCAATGCCCGCATCATGGATGTAATCCATCAATTTTTTGACCTCCTTCATATTCTCGACCGCTTCTACCAAATCTTTGAATTCGTCAGTTTGGAAGTATTCGACCATACTCTGGAATTCATCATCTTCTTCGTAATATTGAAGAGTAATTGCGATTACTTCCTCTACAGGTATCAGGTCTAAAAACTCTTGGATATCCTTGTGAAGCTCGCCTCTGCCGAAATTGGGAATCTCGATCTTGGCGGAAGCCACGGCTACGAGAGCCAACAGTGCTAATGCCAATTTCATCTGCAAAAATAAATTTTGCTAGAATTATTGATACATCTAAATTGATACATGTGCACGCGTACGTTATATTTTATATTATTATATTGTGGCATATGTACACATGTAAGGGCATATGCATATATATATATATATATATATATATATACTAATAAATTAACAAAGAAAAATAGAAAATAAATATAAGAGATTTATGCAAAAATGATATTTGATTGAAAGCAAATTTTTAATAAGTTAGTTTAATTAATTGATGAAAGTGAAAATATCTATATTTGTTTGATGATATTTTACGAAGAATAAATCTATCTATTTTAAAAATATGTTACTATTTTACAAAATACTAATCTAATTCGAGATCTTTAACGAGACTTGATGATAATTAATAAAGTAAAATTATTAATTATAAAATAATAAATATTAATAAAAAACTGATACAATTAATTTTAAATATTTTTAATGGATACAAGAAATTATTTGTTTCTCTAAGGTAAAAATATTTTTGAAACTAGAATAATATACTTAAAATATTTTTGCTTTTTATTTATATTATTTAATTTATAATTATTTTAAAAGAAATAGTAAATCTTTAATAAGCAAAAAATAAATGATTTATAATATTTTTCACAATCTTTATTTATTCGCTATCTATAATTGAAGCTTAGAGTGTCTAACTCAGACAGCTTGTCAATACTTACTTTCGGAATATTGTTGTTGTGGTACTTCTACTTGTGAACTCCCGAAAACTGATGCTCTACAGTTTTGGTCACTGACTTTATATACAAAATTAGATCTTGTTTATTCAATCTACGATGATAAGATTATGTATTATCTATAGGTGCTTGATTTAAGTCCAAATACTTTTAAAATAATGTAAAGAATTATGTAATGATTTTAGATAACGATTATTTTTCTTTTATGAAGTATCAAATATTTGATAATTGATTTTATTGATAATTGCATTGTAAAATAATTGCTGTGCAAATGACATTATGTGCATTCGGTGAGTCACGATATTTTAGAAAATCATAATTAATGTGTACACTGGTACATGGAATATATAACAATTTAAATTAAAGTAGAATGTTCAGTATTTCTAATTATAATTTTAACTTTATTAGTTTTATTTTTTCACTTTGTTGATTTCGTTTAATTCTAATTTTATTTGAAGACTTAAAATTTAGATGATGAAGGTTTACTTAGATTTTCTAAAAATAAATATAAAGGATAATGAAATATCATATACAGATGTAGACTAAATATGCATAAAGTATGTAATTATTATCAATCGAAAGATAAAGACAGAAAAATATTTTTAATCTTAATATTTTTTGAATGTTTTGTATTCTAAAGATTTAAAAAATTAAATTAATCTTATTTATTTAATTGAAATATATATATGTGTATATTTTTTGTGATATATAGAATTAATATTAAATAATTTATTTGCATAAAAGTTATTAAAAATGTTAATCAGATCAATTTTTACTTATCTCTTCTAAAATCGATTGATAAGCTGCACGTGCGTTATCAAGTGTGAAATTGTTTTGCTCTATAATCACAAATACTTACTCCAAATTTCCAATGAGTCAGATTATCATTAAAAAATTAGGATTTTCCATTTAATAAAATTACTTAAACACAATAGAGATTTGTACATTTGATAAAAAGGGTATCTTAAAAAATAAGAACAAGTAAACAACAATAAGAGCCAATGAAGTATCTAGGGCGCAAATGAATTTTATTGTGAATTAATAATAGTTTTCAAAATACATGAACGCGAACATATATTAATTAATTATATTGATTAAATTTTGTGAATATGGCATGTTTTGATAGTTTTTATTAAAATGTTGTTATATATGTAAAAAGTATTTCTTAATATTGATGTATTTAACATAATATATATTTGCATTTATCTCTTTTTTTTCATTTGTCATTGATTATAATTTTTTTTAATGATCAGTGCCGTAAGTAGCGCATTTTTTCGGCACAACTTTTATGTATATCATGTTAAATTTGCCACAAATTATCATTATTGCATAACAGACTTTTAATAAGTTTGTACTCGTTTGTTTGCATATAATTAATCTGCTTAAGAATTGTTATTATTCTTTTTTCATTTGTCTTCGTGATTGTTTCGCTGTTAAAATAAATAAAAGCTATCGTTTGACGAAGAGAACAAGATTTAAGTTTGGACATATCGAAAACTGTGGACCATTTCTTTCTCAATTATTAATCCGCCGAAAGAGACTTCTTTTGAATCTTTTCTGTATTAATCGCAAGAGAACGATCAGTGCTTATAGAAGGGAATTTATAGAATATATCCAAACAATATAATTCGCGAGTCAAAAACGCTCTTTTGCTTCATTGTGATGAGAAAATATGGTTCCATTTGATTTTTTCATTGCTTTTTGATCATAGACTCGATGTTCGATCTCACGCTTCGCCGATTGATTGTCGATTTTTGACGTTTAGTTCCGCTTTCATTATCGCTAGCGGGCGCGAATACTTGTTTCGCCAAATGGAATAATAACGTTGTTTCTATCGTAAAGGCATTTTTTTGCAGTTAGATCAGATTTGATAAAAAAGTTTCCCAAAGAAACAATTGCATGTAATTAATCCGTTCTTTTATAACAGATTAGTTCTTATTTTTAAATTATTTTAATATATATATTATAAATAATATAGAAACAAAAACACTGTTGTTCTTTTAAATAAAATTAACGCATATTTGTATATAATTTGTTGAATTTTTAAAGTCTATTATTTTTCGAACATAAAGTGGCAACTGTTTTATTTATTTAAAATGCGTCCAAGCTTTTAATTTTATCTATAAGTTAAAACTGACAATTAGGTACTTTCTAATAGGAATATTTTCTCATTCAGTTGCGTTATACACGTTGAGCGATAAGTTCGACCGTAGTTATAAATACTTTTAACCCTATCTCTCTATTTGAACATTTCGTGCGGTTAAAGTATTCCAGTATACGTTTGTTATGCTAATCTAGGGTAGCATGCTCTTTGCTCCATCCGACACGGCGGGACGAGCACGTCAATCTCTCAAAAGGGATGACGTAATGTACTAAAATCGTTTTTTTCCGCCTGCCAGCCTCTCCCTCCTTGCTTCGGTTCGTTGCTTTAAGATGCACGCGTTAGTTCGACGCATGAAGTGTCCACTAAAAGTCAATCTCTTCGTCATTCTCTTTTTTTCAACTCGAAGCATCTACTCGAGCAAAGCGCGTCTCGGCCATGTATTACAAGTCGTAAAATCGACCACGCCAGTGTTCAACGAAGAAACAAGAGCCGGGAACCATCTTCGGTAAAAGAAAGATTTTTCGCGTCCCGAAATATAGCGAAATTGCACCGAACAATGACTGCAATTACCGACAAAGTTCAAACTCATTCCGAGAATATTCTGCAAACGATCTTTCCGGCTTTAAAAAAGTGATTTAAACGGAGAGACAAAGGGATTAAATAATTTTTTTCTCGAAAGCGCGTAATAAAACGCGCGTTTTATTTGTGCCACAACGGTGAATAATGGGAGCTTCGCAGACCTTATCTTTTTTCTTGCTTGCATGCGAGAATATTTCGGAGCATGCTGCGCGGTTTTATCGATCGGAAGGTCGGAAAACATGAGTTGTTGCTGCGAAACAATAAGATCGTGGGCGGGTCAACAACCGATGTATCATCGCTGTTTCCAACAAAAATGAAGAACATTTTGGGAGTCACGCGGCTAAAATTTAATCAACCGAAAGCTTTCTAGATTGTTATTGGGAAGCGGAAAATGCTCCCAGGGGATCGAAATTGTCGACCATTTGATATACCAGCAAGAAATTGTCTCATCTGAGGTAACCCTCAGATGCGGATAGGATATTAGAACTGCGGGTGATAGAAGAAAATTAAAATTTAATTGACTTATCCTCTTGGAAAAATAAATCGATTCGAAATGGAAATATTTTGTTGTACATGCGTTCTTAGAGTTTATAAAATTATTCAAATTTTGATTTAAAAAATGATTATTCTTTATTATTTTTTATCGTTATATTATTGAACATTTTAGATAATTATTATATAACATTTCGGAATCTTTTCGCAAGAATTATTGAAAAGTTGCAAAGTGCAGCGCGTGGCTCATTCAAGCGTAACAAACATCTTGTTGGAAAATCGCCTTCGGAAATATTCCTTGTCTTTATCGGTCTATTAGTCTAATCATTCACACATCTGTGCATTTCCCACGAATTAGCTAGTTCCATTTATATATATCTCATGCGGCATCTTACAAACGATTTATATTACAAATCTAGCAAAAATTGTATAGGATAGATTCTTTTTTCTCAATGTTAACAATTATTTCCGTATCTGATTTTACACGTAATGTTATACAGAGTTGCAAAATTGTCTGTAATATAAAAGTATATATAGTTTAACTCAGAATTTTCATTAAATAAAAGATATTTTGATCTCATTCTTCTATGTATAAACATAATATATTTGTTTTTACTTTATTTATAATGATATAAATATGATGTTATTTAAATCGGCCAACAGAGCCAAAGCACGAAAAATTAATTATTCGGAATTGTATCTCTTGGTTTGAGATCACTAAGTTCCATATATAAATTAATCTCGAAACTTACATATGGAGAAATAGGCGCGAAAAATATAAGTCCGAAAAGTTTTCGCGCCTATTTCTCCATATGTAAGTTTCGAGATTAATTTATATATGGAACAGTGATCTCAAACCAAGAGATACAGTTCCGAATAATTAATTTTTCGTGCTTTGGCTCTGTTGGCCGATTTAAATAACATCATATTTATATCATTATAAATAAAGTAAAAACAAATATATTATGTTTATACATAGAAACTTAAACGTACCAGCCGCTCATAATACGATTCCCTATTTATCTGATTTGGTTCCATTCATGATTCATAAAAATCAAAACTTATAATAATTTTATCGAGTTCACATTTAATTGACTTGGCATGCGTTTCGCTCCAATAATTCTCAACAATATAATTATTTCTCCAAATCGAGAAATGTTGAGGTGATATCGACAATATCGGATGCAGGGAATTTTTATTTTTCAAACACTGTAATACTTCTTTGACAATATTGTCTATAAATATAAGCGTAATATGCACATTATTACTGTGCGGTAATATCTTTCTGTTGAATTGAATTGGCTGAAAAATGTACATATTTTAAAATTAATACACAATAATCAATTAAAATAACAAATAACAAATAAAAATATTTATTTCTGAGTTTATTTATAATGTTATGCTTTTTTATATACATGTATAATCATATTTTCATATTAATAAGTTATAATAATTGAAATTGTTTAATATATTACAATTTTTTATCATATAATTCTTATAAGATTTGAGAATTTCTTTGAGATAAAGATTTGCTAAAATCTCAAGTTGAAAATGTAAATTATAATTATATTAATAAGAACAACTCATGAAAACTTTGTATTAAATCAATTCGACTTTCGAGTGACTTTCCGTCGATGATTTATCAAGCACGCTATTCGCCATAATTATTTCAATGATATTTGAGAATTATGACTGCCTTTGGGTATATACACGACGACACCCGCGATTGGCGATCTCATTCGCATATAATTGCACGGGAACATGAGATAGCATCTGAAATAATTTTTGTACCGCTTTTTCGTTAGCGTATTAATTCGCAATTAATCTTCAAGGCGAAAGTCGAAGTTCGCATCGAGTCCTACTTTAATTCGAAT